ACGTCCCCACAACCATTTTCAAGAATACATTTGGAAAATCTCTCTTTTGATTTCAAATCCAAACCCTAGGTTTTTCAGAATATCCCAAATCAATACCCTTTTTGAAGAACAAATAATTAAGCTAAAAATCATATAAAAGAGTCAAAGAAATCCCTACCTCAAAGTAGAAGATAAGGAGGAAACAAGAGTAGAACTTGATGGTGTCAAAAACACTAGATATTTCGATTAAAATGAAGCCCTCGGCATACTCAACGTTTTTCTTCAAAGGACTAGGGTGAGGAAACTCATATATTGAGAGTATTTGGGGCTAAAGATCAAGAACTAGATAAAGAGTAGATCTAGGGTTTTGGAATGCTTAGAGAGAAAGAGAGAGAGAGAGATAAAAAAGTGACTGAAAATGGTTTTCTTTTGGACTGATATATGCACAAACCACTCGAGAGCATGGATGGTCACTCAAGTGACAAACACAAAAAGAAGAAACCACTCGAGCGATCAAAACCATCGCTCGAGCACACAACGATCCCCTCCTAGTAGTTCAGACCTACAAAAGTTTGCTCGAGCACAAGAAAGACCATTCGAGCAAAGAATTCAATCTCTCAGTAGTTTTGCAAATTGTAAAAGACTGTTCAAGCGCAGGAATGATCGCTCAAGCGAACAAGCTAAAATCTAAAATCTGGGCAATAACTCTTTGAAAAACTAAACTCCCAACCTTTGAAAAACTAGCCTCCCAACCTTTTTCAAACATAACCAAAACTCCCAATAGCCAAACTCAAGAAACAATAAGGTGGAAATGAGCTGAACAATAATTAAATACACGGGTACCCGAATCCAAAAATAACAAATGGGTCGGATCTAACTAGAATCGTTATAGAAAGACAAGTCAATAAGCCATTTATCTTTCAACAATTGTGTCTCTGTCACATTAATTTGCATTGCAAATAAGATATTTATTTATTTTAGGAAGGTACAGAAAATATTTTTAAAAGGGTTACTTATACGAAAACTCCCTAGATTAAGAAGTATCATTTTGATTTTTTAAATTATAAAATCGCACAAATGAACTCTCTAAATTGTTGAGAAGTATCAATTTTTGCCTTAAATTATAATAGCATACATATGAACCTTCTAAACTGTTGACGTGTTTCACTTTGACCCCTTATGTTAGGGGGTCCAATTGGTACACTTTCATAGTTTATGGAGTCCTTCTGTACATTTTTATAGTTTAGGAGGTAAAGTAATACTTCTCAATAGAAGGTCTATTTATACGTTTTTATAGTTTAAGGAGTCAAATGATACTTCTTAATAGCTTTGGAGGTCTTCGTTTTTTTTAAAAAGGATAAATTACATTTTGCTCCCTTTATATTTGGTCATTTTTTCATTTTGGTACTTTAATTTTTTTCCACTTTGACTTTTTATGTTTCAAGTTTTTTTTAGTTTAATCTTAAAATTAAATTCAAATAAAAAAAAAATCTTTAAATTAACTTTTATTTAAAATTAAACAGAAAATATTATGTTAACTACCACATAACATAAAAAATATATTAGTATATTAGGATTTGGATTTGTGTCAGAGATTTTGATTTATGCCATTTGTGTGCGTTATATATAATAAAATATTTTTATACCACGTGATTGTCAATAGAGAAATTTATTAAAAAAATCATTTTTTAAGTGTTTGTATCTCAATTAGTTCATAAGATATTCTTGTATTCCAATAAGTCCTATTATTTGAACATTTGATCTACAAAATCCGAATTCTTATATTTAAAGTATTTTATGGATATTTCTACACTTATAAATATATTTTGAACGATTAGTAATTTGGTAATGTAAACATTCATATTTTACAATGTGAATATTCATATTGATAGTATGAACATTCACATTGACAGTATGAACATTCACATTATAAATGTGAATATTATTAGAAATATTTTAGTAATTATATCACTCATAAGACTTATTGGAATACAAAATAATAATATGAACTAAATAGAACATAAGTAGGTCAAAAGAGATTTATAAAAAAGTGTCCATTATCAGTATATCATTTTTTGTTTAATTTTAGACGTTAATCTTTGAAAGAAAATTTAAAATATAAAAGGTCAAAATAAAAAGAAAAAATTAAAAACCAAAATAAAAAAATAATCAATCATAAAAGGGCTAACTTGTAATTTACCCTTTTAAAAAACATGTTTTTTCTGCAGCCATAAAGACGGCTACGCGGAACCTCGACAAAGTTGCTCCATTGCCACAATAATGTGTAGACATTATTGTGTAGCATTATTGGATTGGAGCAGATACGATCTTGCAAACCAACTAAAAATAAAATATTATTTTGAAGCACCACATAAACCTATTTTCGAATTATTAAATAATTACCCTATATATATTGGTTATTAGTGCCACAATAATATATAGCATTATTGGAGAAGATATGTGAGAGTGGAGATTTGCGCGTTAGTACGGCCGAGCTATGATAACGCCGATCATGATGAACCGCAAGCCGCCGAACTGAAGACCGGCCAGACACGAACCAATGCCAGGCCGAGCTATAACGCGGCCGAGCGCGTAGCAGTGTCTGATGACCAAGCTAAGAGCAACTCGGGCTAGACCGTGGGTGCGGTTAGGGCCGGCACGCTTCTGACCGACCAGCCGAGGTAAGTGGTCTTCGTGTGACCGAATATAGAGGTAGGACGGGTGGAGGCCAGCATACCTCACAACCGGTTAGCCTAATGAACCGGTCAATATCAGCTCGGCCATGAGTATCGCCCTTTGGCCCCTTCGCAAGGGGTAGTCCGGCGGTGCATAACTCGGTTGTGTGCATGTGATGGCAACTCTCTACAAGTGATAGGCCGGTCGTGGTATTCTGGTTGAGTGTGCCACCTGGACCAATGGCGTGAGGGATAGAGGAAATCTGCTCCAAGCATGCGCCAATACCGTTGGACAGTTCTGCGTGTACTGGTGGGAGGACTAAGCCTTTACACGCGTAAGGTGGTGAGAGGCGAGCACTGCCACCTATCCTGGGAAGAACAGCAGAGGTAGTGTGTGCATAATCTTGAGGCTGCATGGCCAGCCTTGAAATATGGAGGAGGACGAACGTTAGAGGTATGCAATTTCTTCCCCAAAAAAAATACTCTCTCTCTAACAGTCTTCTTCTTCTTCAAGTAGACTGACTTGATCGTCGGAGGGTCTATCCGGCACACCACCGCCGAGCAGCTCACCGTTTCTGTGTTGCCAGGTAGACGCCGTCAAGAGAAGCTTGGAGTACAAGGGGTACGGAAAGCAGAGGATATTTCGCCCCCGTACAATTGGCGCCGTCTGTGGGAACTCTTTGATACTTAACCCTTGTTCTTTGAGCTTCTTCGACCATTTCCATGGCCAACAACGGCGAAGCCCCACTGTCCGTCGTCGATGACGTCACACCTGAGTATGTCCGCTTGAGAGAAGGCCCCCCGAATATTCCAACCATGGCGGACCTAGAGACTCCTTCGCGAGGTGCGCGAGACAAACGCGGGAGGAGTACCGATCGCTCGCAGAGTCCAGAGGGCCACCAATGCCGGGAGGAGTCCCATACGCAGCGCCTGGAGCACAAACTCAAGGACCAAGACACCCTCATTCGCAAGATGGCGGCGGAGATGGAGCTACTGAAACGCCAGATTAAAGGGAAGGGTGTTGCTACAGAGGGAAACCTCAATGAGCGCACCCCGTCCCCTCATTATAGCAGTCGCCGCCAGGGGAGGACCCACTCTCTCTCCATCACCAGGAACTATGGGGTTGGAGATTCCGACCAAAGAGAGGGTAGGTCCCTCTCTCGCGACAGCACTTATCGCCCCTCACGCCCGGCGCTGACGTCAGGATCCTCTTTCTCCACACGTTCCAAGGACTTGAGGGATGTATTGGAGGAGAGGGCGCGCCGTCGGGAGGCTCGGAGAGTGCCGACATTACAGAGATTGAGCGCTCCAGTCCATTGTAGTGAGGAAGTGGCGATGCCAGCCCCCAAAGTGATGGCCCCTGCGCTGGTGGACAAAGAGCTGGCACGACTTATAGCCATGCCGCTATCTCCAGAGATTGAGAGTACACCACTCCCCGCCGGATTCCACCAGCCAAAGTTCACTTTGTACGACGGCAAGACGGATCCGTACATGCATGTGAGCCATTACCGGCAAGTGATGGCTGGCCACCGGCGCAACGATGCCTTGATGTGCCTCATATTCCCAGCAAGCTTGGAAGAGCTGGGTTTGAAGTGGTTCGAAAGGCTCCCGGAGGGGAGTATTGAGGGGTGGCAGCAACTAGCGGAAGCCTTCGTCACCAGATTCAAAACCAACACACGAACGCCGAAGGAGGTCGACCATCTCCTGGGCATCAAGATGGAGTCTGGATGTTCGTTGAAGGCATACAATGCGAAATACCGGGAAACTTACAATGAGATCCTCGACTGCCCCACCAATCTGGCGATCACTCAATACAAACGGGGTCTCCCAGTCGGACATAGGCTATGAGATTCACTCACAATGCATCAAGCCACGACCATGGAGTCATTGATGCAGCGGATCAATGAGCACATTCGTGTGGAGGATGATGCCGCCTCCACGACCGAGAAGGCTAATCCGGTTGCGACGGACAGAAGAGTGGCGAGAAAAGTTCACTCGGTTGGGCAGGAGGATAACCGCCCAAACAACCGGTCAAAAGATCAGCGCCATGGTTCAAACCGTGATGACAGAAACAAGGGCCGCTGAACCGACCGGGCTGACACTCCCCGTGATGCAGCAGAGGATGCCAAAAGAAAATTAAAGGCATGGACTGGAATCACCACGGTGTTTAAAATCCCCATCTACTACATTTTGAGCGAGATTCGAGGTGAACCCTTCGTCCGTTGGCCGGCCAAGTTGGGGAGTGTGCAGAGGGGCTTCAATTCAAAATATCGCTGCACCTTTCACGAAGAGCGGGGGCACCGAACAGAGGACTGCTTGCCGCTCAAACAACACTTAGAGGAGTTGATGGCGGCGGGGCATCTTGAGCAATACATAGATGGGGGCATCAAGGCCACGCCAGCGGACCAAACCGAGCCAAATGGCCTGGCCGCCCTAGAAGCTTCCCCGCAAGGTGTAATCAATGTCATCCATGGCATCATTGAACCGGCCAGGGTCTGCGAGCTGAGAGGGATGATCAAGAAGGTCGAGCACATGAAGGAAGTGCTCTCTGTTCAACCCGCTGTGAAGAAGGGAAAGACCGAAGAGAGGGACATCCTTTCATTCTCAACCAAGGACTTGGAAAGAGTTCAGATGCCGCACAATGATGCTTTAGTAGTCACTTTTCGCGTCAAAGACTTTGACATCAAGAGGATCTTGATCGACTAGGGGAGTTCGGTAGAAATTATGTATTATGGCGCGTTTAAACAAATGAAGTTGGAAGACAAGGACTTGGCCCCCGTAACGTCCCCTTTGGTCGGCTTCAACTCACAGCCAGAATGGCCAATCAGAAAGATTATTTTGCCGGTCAAAGCGGGATCGGTTGTAAAGCAAGTAGAGTTCTGGGTGCTCAAAGTTCCATCGACTTACAACTTGATCTTAGGCAGGGGTTGGCTGCACGCCATGCAAGCAGTTGCTTCGACCTTCCACCAAGTCATGCGCTTTCCGGCACCAAGCGGACAAATAGAGGAAGTTTGGGGGAACCAGGTGATGGCGAAACAATGCTTCGTTGCGGTAAATGGCAGCTGAGCGGCCAAAGGGTTCGTCCAAATGATTGAAGGGCCTGAGGGTAAAGAGGTCCTTGAAGACGTAGGAAGAAAGGCCGAGGAAAATTCGGTCGAAGATTCGGTGGAAGTGCGCATTGACGAGAACGATCCAACTAAATTCTTCCTCTTGGGATCATCCTTGTCTAGCGCCGAGCGGATGGATTATGTCAACTTCTTGGTTTCCAATTTGGAGGCCTTTGCCTGGACGGCTTATGACATGCCTGGCATCGACCCGAGCTTTATTTGTCATCAGTTGAATGTCTTTCCCAATGCACGGCCAGTCATTCAAAGGACGCGCCACTCAGCCTTGCATCATGCTGAAGTAGTGGCAGAAGAAGTGAAGAATCTGTTAGAAGCTGGAGCCATAGAGGAGGTGCAATACCCTCGGTGGATATCCAACACAGTGGTTGTTCTGAAGAAGAACGGCAAGTGGCGAGTCTGCGTTGACTACAAGACCGTCAACCGAGCTTGCCCCAAGGATAGCTTTCCCCTCCCACGAATCGACCAGCTGGTGGACATAACCGCTGGCCATCAGAGGTTTAGCTTCCTAGACGCATATCGCGGCTACCACCAGATAGCCATGTATAAAACAGACAAAGAGATCACGTCGTTCACAACCCCCAGAGGCTTATATTGCTACAAAGTCATGCCGTTCGGACTAAAGAACGCCGGGGCGACTTTTCAACGGATAGTGACAAAGATGTTCGCCCCAATGCTGGGCCGCACCATGGAGGCTTACATCGACGATATGGTGGTGAAAAGTAAGGATAAAGCTCGGCACCTCTTCGACCTAGCGGAGATGTTTGCTATACTTAAACGCCACAAGCTTCGTTTGAATGCTTCCAAATGCGCCTTCGGAGTCGGCACCGGGAAGTTTTTGGGTTTTCTGGTCACAAATCGAGGGATTGAAGCTGACCCATCATAGATCAAGGCTATACAAGACCTGGAGCATCCTAACTCCACGAAAGACGTGCAACATCTTGCCGAGATGGCAGCCGCATTGAACAGATTTATCAGCCGGTCTTCTGATCGTTGCAGGCCCTTCTTTAAAACTCTGAAGTCCAAGTTCTTCTGGGATGACGAGTGCGACCGCGCACTAGCAGACCAGAAAGCATATCTCTCCTCAGCCCCTATTTTGGTAACACCTCAGCCGGGCGAAGAGTTGTACCTCTACTTGGCTGTCTCTCAACACGCAGTCAGCGCGGTGTTGGTTCGTGCTGAAGGCATCCAGCACCTACCGATCTTCTATGTAAGCAAGACTCTGCTCCCAGCCGAAACGAGATATCTTCCGTTGGAAAAATTGGCGCTGGCCCTAATGATGGCGTCAAGAAAGCTGGCACACTATTTTCATGCCCATACAATAGTTGTGTTAACCGAGTTCCCGCTCAAAAGTGCTTTTCGAAAAGGCAGACTTCACTGGGAGAATTTTGAAATGGGCCGTAGAATTAGGGCAATATGACATCAAGTTCCGACCACGCACCGCAATCAAGGCTCAAGCACTTGCTGACTTTGTGGCGGAATTTGCCCCTGGGATGCATCCAGTCTGCCCAATTGATTTGGTTGGCGCGGATTTAGCACAACCCATGGTTCTGGCAACAAAAACAAGTGTTGGTGCACAAGAGGAGGAAGGACAAAGAGCGACCAAACCAGCAAAGGCGAACGACTCGATGAAGGAGGAAGTCGACCATGACGAGGAAAGAGACCAGAATGAGCCAACCAGAGACTTGGAATTGAGAAGCTCCCAGAACCCTTCTGATTGCTGGAAGCTGTTTATCGGCGAGATGTGGAAGCTCTTCGTTGATGGGGCGTCCAATAGACATGGGGTCGGGCTGGGCATCGTGCTGAACTCGCCGGACGGGCTGATCATCGAGCAGGCAATTACACTCGGCTTTCCAGCATCGAACAACGAGGCTGAGTATGAAGCTCTCCTTGCCGGACTAAGAAGCGCGCTGAGAATGAAAGCCACAGCCCTTATGGTATTTAGTGATTCCAAGTTGGTGGTCAATCAGGTCTCAGGGGAGTATGAGGCAAAGGACGAAAGAATGGCCAAGTATCAGGTGCTGGTACGCGCAGAGATCAAAAAGTTCGCTGCAATAAGGATGGAACAAATCGACTGCGAAAAAAATAGCGCGGCTGATGAATTAGCTGGACTTGCTTCTGCTCAGACAACTTTTCCTAACCCCTTGATGATAGAATTTTTACCCCGGCCAAGCATTGAGGAACCAGAATCAGCAGAGGTACTCTGTACCGACTTGGGCCCTTCTTGGATGGATCCTATCATCGCCTTCCTGAACGATAGAATTCTACCAAAAGAAAAGAAGGCGGCACACAAGATCCGGGCAAAGTCAGAGCGGTTTTGGCTCTCCCCGTCCGGGGCCTTGTACAAGAAGTCTTTCATCGGGCCGTATTTGAAATGTGTCCACCCCACCAAGGTGGAGGCTTTCCTCTATGAGATACATGAGGGCATCTGTGGCAGCCATACTGGGGGCAGATCCTTGGCTTACCGAGCAATTTCTCAGGGTTATTGGTGGCCGCGCATGCAGGCAGATGCGCAAAAATATGTTCGCAGATGCGAGAAGTGTCAGAAGTTCACCCACCAGATCCACCAGCCGGCTAGAGATTTGTGTCACGACCCAAACCCGCCCCTATGGGTTTAGCACCGTAACCGGCCAGTAATCCGAGATTACCGAAGGCCTGCTTAACAGTAATACAGTAATACAGAGTACAGGGGCTGGCGGAAGCCAATACAGTAATTAAACAATGTCCAATGAGCTGTGACAGTCTATATGCAAAAAGACTTTTCATTCAAATATATATACAGTGGAACAGAACAGTATGCACATATATACGATCATTCAGTTTAGTGACCTAATCCCTATTAAACAGTACAGTAACAGTCTATACAGTCGTACAAAACAGATACAGAAACCAACGGGGAAATTAAAAACACCCCTAAGCCGTAACTTGACAGGCTCGGAACCTCGCATTGAGGCACATAGGTTGGCTGGACAAAACTGGAGTTTACCCCAACGCTTCTAGCTGCGGTCTGGTGCCTGTACACCTACATATATATATGAGCAGTGCGCTAAAGCCCAGTGAATAACACAATGCGTAAAGGGGTTAAGAATGAATGTCCTTACAATAATGAAAACGGTTCATTTAACCAGTATTGCAGTCATTCAGTCAGTACAGTCATATGTGGTACATCCATTAGCATAACAGTACAGTGAACAGGTCTTAAAGACCGAACAGTACATGATGGCCATCAATCAGTAACAGTAGTGGTTCCAACGAGGGAACCGACAGAGATCTCTGTAGCAGTAACAGTAAACAGTAGGTGCTAAGGATGCCACAATACATTCAGAAATAAGGACATACATTCATTCAGTTAACAGTAATCAGTTCAGAAAAGCAGTATAGTTATATTGTTCAAAGATAATCATTTTGAACATATCTTTACACAATGTTACTCACAGAGTTCTGGGCTACAGTAAAGCTAGAGCGGTCCCCAGTCGCCAACCCTACACAGTTACAGGTTGATTAACACACACTAAGCTACACAGTGGGAAAGATTAAAGCTTAATCCTAATGCCTCGGTGTGTTTCTAGATCTATATCCTCCTTAAGAGTCTTAAACTAGGCCTAAGTCTGCCTGGAATAAGAGAGGATGCAAAGATGCACTTGAAAAAGCATTCCAGACTTTTCAGAAAAAGGGGTCACGCTCGAGCGTAGGTTACTCCGCTCGAGCGAACATGCAGACAAAGTTCCGCTCAGAGCGTATCATTACCCGCTCGAGCGTTCTGCAAAACAGTCAAAAGTGCTGGATAGGCGAAAATCACGCTCGATTGGGCGCTTGACCCCGCTCGAGCATGAGACACCAATGTCCGCTCGAGCGTCAATTAATCCGCTCGAGCACTTCAAACAGAACAAAAATGCTGGGAGCACGATTCCACGCTCAAGTGCCAGTCACCCCGCTCGAGCGTGAGTCCAAATTCTGGAAATTTCCAGATTGAACCCTCAAGCTCAAAACCAAGTTTTAAACCATAAATTTCATCCTCCATTTCAAAGCATCGCATGCGAAAGGAAATTGTTTGGGCCATCATGTCGGATTTCCAGAAAAACACATCAAAGAACTCATACTTTAACATGATTCATACAAAGCTCCAATTTGAAAATCAAAGCCAAGAGTGTTTTCAAATTAAATCCAATTCCAAAACCAATTTCCAAGAATATGAAAAGCAGTGCAAACCATAGCATGAAATTCAAACACAAATTTTCAAAGCTTCAAAACATGCTCTAGAGAAGCAGATTGTTCCAAAAAACAAGATGAAAATATGGACTTAACAACCAGAGATGCAGAAGGCAAATTTCTCCATGAAAATAACTTGAAATTCTAACAATATACCACAGCAAAGCAAACAAGGGAGTCTAACTACCACACTTTAAGACCCAAAAACTTGGAATGCCCCCCGAAATCTCCAGCTCCTGCGGCGCTGCAAAACTTCGCTATCCTCTCTCTCTTCTAGCTCCAAACGCGAGCACCGGTCAAAAGCCATATCGAGAATACCCCAAGAATGAAACTGAATCTAACAATTCCGCTTCGATCGCACCTCTATCTCTATAA